ATTAGATTTTCAATTAAATCTATATACTTTTGTTACTTAAGTAGACAAAGTCATTAATTTTATTTATTTAATTTAAAGTAATCAATTCCAGAATTGACTTCTGTTGTACAAGTGTATTACGGTAGCTAAACGCAACGTGGAAAAAAGTGTTATTGCCAAGTGCTAACGTCATATCGATAGTAATAATACAACGAAAATGTCACAGAAATTTGTAATTTTTAATTGAGAGATTCTTTAATATAAAATTGGCAATTGCGATATTAAATGTTATTATTAATAGCTTATAACATATAGTGTATATTTAATTAAACTTCATTTAAGGTTCCAATTACCAAATATTTTAATATTATGTACATTTATTTGGACAGAACAATTATGGACTGCACCCGAGCTTCTGCTTTCGCCCAAGAAAGGCGGAACAGTAAAAGGGGACGTTTACAGCTTCGCCATAATAGTTCAGGAGATAATTCACCGTGAAGGAGTGTTTTGGCTGGCCAACATCGAATTGTCTCCGAAAGGTAAGATGCCCATTTAAGATAACGCATTATCTGTTTCCGAAGTTTATATTAATCTGCTGACGCCATTGGTTCATATGTATTTTAAGTAATTGGGCTACACTGACTAATGCGCTCCTTCAAAATACTCATTTTTAATGTCGTTCTACATGCCCATTACTCGAACGACTAGAAGTTATAAAGAAGTCATTCTTTATAACTTCTAGTTATGTTAGGTTTGTTATAAAAACTGCCGTTTTGTCTTTTTCAAGCGCGTGACGGATGCTACACAAATCTACTGACCGCCAGCTGCAGTCAGCGGATCGCCGTCAAAATTATTACCCTAGGAGCCAGACCAGGTTTTGTATGCACTTTGAGGTGCAGAGCATTTGACTTCAGAAATTGGTTTAGGGTGGTCCAAGAATTATTTTTGGCTTGGTAACATATTTTCAAAGTGTGGCAAAATGTCAGGGTCAAAGGTCAAGCTATAACGTCCTTGTATCTCCGCAACCACAGGTGGTAGAGAGTTGAATTTGGTGCCAATTTGTTCGGAACATGCATATTTCTATTCGCTCTAATAGAACATTTTGCTAAAAAATGACCGGAAATGCTGGTTCTGACCTTTGACATGCTTCAAGGTCATAGCCATATTGTCCTTATATTTCCGCAACCACTGGCGGTAGAGAGTTAATTTTGGTGTCAATTTGTTCGGAACATTCATGTTTCTATTTGGTCTAATAAAAGAGTTTGCTAAAAAATGACCGGAAATGCCATTTCTGACCTTTGACATAATATTATTTTATATAAGGTAGCCATTGAGTCGTGATTATCTCCGCAACCACTGGTGGTAGAGAGTTAATTTTGGTGCCAATTTGTTGGGAATATTCATGTTAATATTTGGTCTAATAAATGAGTTTGCTAAAAAAAATGAGCAGAAATGCCATTTCTGACCTTTCATATATTTTATATATGATAGCCATTGAGTTGTTATTATCTCCGCAACCACTGGTGGTAGAGTTAATTTTGGTGCCAATTCTCCATGTTTCTATTTATTCTAATAGAATTTGTTTTCTAAAAATGAGCGGAAATGCCGTTTCTAACCTTTGACATGTTTCTTAGTCCTTATATCTCCGCATGCACTGGTGGTAAAGAGTTAATTGTGGTGTCAATTTAATCGAACATTCATGTTTCTATCTGGTCTAATGGAAAAGTGCTAAAACAAATGGCTGGAAATGATGTTTCTGACCTTTAACATGCCGACATATATTATTATTATTATTATTAACGCATATTCTTACATACGTGCTGTAAAGACTTAAGATTGATCTGAAATTATTCATTTACACATGTTTCTGTTTAATTTATTAGACCATTAATAATTAATAATAATTTTTTTTTACAATACTTGTATTTCAATTTATACAGTTAGACGCCATAGAGAAATTAAAACTTAATGCTAATGTTACAAACTTGTCTCGTAATTACAATGCTTGATAATTGAATATTACAAGTTTATGAATAGGGCCTGATAATAAATTGAATTTCATCACCACCATTTTACCAAAAATGATGGTGCAATGAAACTGGACCAAGTGTCAAGTTAGTGTCTGTTTTAGGGGCTGTATCACCCACTAATGTAACATTAACCACTGTTGTAACAAAAATCAACCACTAATGTAACATTAACCACTACTGTAACAATTCATTAACCACTATTGTAACAACGATTTAACCACTGTTGTAACAAAAATCATTAACCACTATTGTAACAACAATTTAAACACTAATGTAACAATGTACAATATATAGTAGTCTCCGAGCCGAAACCTTATGTACATTGTCGTATTAAGAAACAAATTTCACATTTTATGATAGTTGTGGCATTTTTAAAATTTTAAAATTTTTTATATAGAGGTTAAAGGTCAGATTTTAAAAAAAGGTCTGAACAAGCCCAAATTGGACAGGGATAGTCCTTGTGACATTGTAAATATTAGTAAATATTTTTTTTGAAGGTCGAAGGTCATGAAAGGAAAATCTTTTGTAAAATGATTGGCTTTTTGAAAATGTCGTGACTTTCAATATGAATGTTAAAGGTCAGATTTTAAAAATGGTCTGAACAAGCCCAAATTGCACAGGGATGCCTGGATGGTCCTAATTAGGTTACTTAAAGGCAACGCCGGGGTATAAAAAGGGGCACTAATAATTTGAATGGATGTTAATCCTCAGTGGTACTAAAAATTTTTGAGTAAATAAATGCCTAGTTATACTAAAACGATAACGATTAACGATAAAAAATATTTTTATATTTTATCGTTTTTTCATTATTATTATTATTATTAGGAATTTTACTTGATTTATGAAAATATTTTTATCATATACACGATAATTTTTCTTTAATGCGAATAATTGCTTTTTTTTTTTAATTGTTGACTGTTATTTTCAAAACATAAACAAGCCTTAATGCATCACCATGCTGCCTGGGTTTGGTTGAATCAAGTCTGAAAGTGTAAATTGATATGTCATCAGAATATAGTTTTTGTTAAAGTATCTCCAAACTTCTCTATGTCTGTTGGTCAGTCGGACGGTCCCTATTACGTTTAACATGCTATTTTCCCTATTTCTGTTAGTCGTATTGGTTTAGTATTTAGCAGACAGTTTCTCAGAGATTGGACGGTCATTATATTGTTAGTCTGTCAATCAGTAGGTTGAATCAGTAGGTTAATTTTTGCAGCCTTATTTCATTAAATAACACTTCACACTTCACTATCTGGTTATATCACATCTTTCCTTTGTATTGGCTTGTGCTGGTATATATACATATGTATATATACATATATAAATAAATATATATATATATGTATATACATGTGTGTGTATATATATATATATATAAACAGACATTAATTGGAACCAAGCTGTTACTGTTTTTCATGAACACTGACATTTAAATATCCAAACTATATATTTACAATGTCTCAAACCATTTTAATAAATCTGATCTATATCGGAAATAATAATGTGAAATTTTAATAGGACAATGTAAATAAGCTTTCGGCTTGGAGACTTCTATATATTGTACGTTGTTACATTAGGGGTTAAATTGTTGTTACAATAGTGGTTAATGAATTTTGTTACAACAGTGGTTAAATGATTGTTACAATAGTGATTAATGAAATTGTTACAACAGTGGTTGATTTTTGTTACAATAGTGGTTAATGTTACATTAGTGGTTGATTTTTGTTACAACAGTGGTTAATGTTACATTAGTGGGTGATACAGGGGCTCCGCTAACTATTCATCCATATCATTGGCCCTGGTTCGAGCCGCTCCTAGAACCAAGTCTTCTCGGATCAGGACTTAAATTGAAGGTCCAGTGTACATATCTGGCTCGTTTGCACGTTAAAGGACCCATTGTATCTTTCGAAAGAGTAGGGGGTTACCCCGAAGCTGGCCCCTGTCGTTGTTGAATGATGTGAACATGTTACATACTAAATAAGCGCCTCTTTACAGCGGATAGGTTGTCACGAACCACGCCCATACGCGATTCAGTTATGGGTTATTCTCCTATCTATACCTTCACCCTTACCCTTTAAAGATCATCAAAGATTTTCATAACACAACAGTTACCTTGAAATGCATAAGCAAATTTCGCACTCCATCTATAATAATATGCAAGGTAGATGAATTTAAAATCCACTGACTTCCGCAGGGTCGGGTTCTACGGTGCAATGATGAGAACTCTCTCCCCTCGTTATTGCCTTTACAGCAATGTTTCTAGTCTTGCTGCAGTAGAATTGATTTCCATGTGTTTTTTTTTATTATTTTATAATTGCGAATGAGAGAAGAAGCCCTCTATGTTCTGTTTTACAAACAGATGCCCTAAGTCTGTCATGTACCCACAATTATTTTATTTTAATGACGATTAGTAACCTAATCTATACATAATGCATTAAAAGACATGCTACATAGGAACGTCAAGAATTTGTCAGTTATATTCCCATTAGTATAGAGCTACGTGCGACTTCCAATCTATGCGGTACCGGTATGTGATTTTCGACTGGGTATATTTCTTTCTGTTGCGACCGATGGGGAAACCATATTTTAAATCCAATTTCATTCTTTATCATAGTATAGGCCTATATTGTTGTATGTTTCAATGTATATATTTCACTTAAGAAGAAAACCTTTTACTTAAGTAGAATACAATTGCACTTAAGTACAATTCGGGAGAAAATGCCTTGTCATACGTGCCTTATTGCAGATGACTTTTGATTTTATATGATAAATATATTTTTTCCCAGAAATTATTGAACAAGTACAATACGGAAAGGCTGCATTTCGACCGACCCTTCAACGAGACCTTTGTCCAAATGACTTGTTTAGCCTTGTGGATAGGTGTTGGGCCGAAGAACCAAGTGATAGACCAGATTTTGATGCAATCAGGAGTGTCGTACGTAAATTCAACAAGTAAGTAGGCTGCGTAGCCTTTTTTTCTAAATTGTCAAAAAAGTGTCAGTATATTCTGTGAGCTTTCGGAATCTTCCAGGTAATTTTCTGAAAATAGCGGAAAAATCGGAAATATTTGTCACAAGCGCCCCCTACTCCAAGATAATCCCCCTTCCTAACCAAAATAGATCCCATTGTTAAAGATAAATCCCATCGCTTACCGATATATAAAGTTAAACAGTAGGTTTGGCGAAATTTATTACTCCGGACCTTCTATGATGACGTTCCCCGGGGCTAGGTTTTAACCAACATATGTTTAATTTGCACGATTTGTATAATAATACAATTATTGTCACATTATTTAGGGCACTGATTGCTGAATAGAACTCTTAGGAGTCATTAGTTTCTTTAAAATTTGCCATCAAGCCAATATATGGGCCTCCATCATGCATATTTTCTGGAAGTAATAGGTCCTTCGGGTTTTATTTTACAAAACTGCCCTACAACATGGATATAATTGATTTATGTATGCATACATTTAAATATTATATTCAACTTTTTAGGGGTGGTGGGAAGTTGCGTTAAATAAACATACTCGAACCAATTAAACTGCATAAAAAACGTATAATGTAAGATAAGCAATATGTCTAATATGGTAGATAGCCGACATTGGTTAATTTGCCAGCCTACATAAAATACTACAACACACTACAGAGACGCAATTAATCTACATAGTCTAGAATGGCGACCTACAAATAATAATATTGTTACCATAAATGTGTATTTAAAATATAAACGGCTTATTGATTTTTCCTTAAATGAAGGATGTTTTGGCTTATTGCTGTGGCTTTTCATCGGACATGCTCATTGGATCGTAACATAATACATAGCAATGTAATATTGTAATGTAATGCAGTTTAGTATGGAGTAAGCGTCCGTGCGTTGCTGCGTTGCGTAATGTAATTTCATTGGTTGTAACGCCTGGTCATATTTACTTCACACGATCGCTTGTATATTGCGTAAAAATAGGACAACATCATGTATAAAATTTAATCATTAATGTTTTGACTGTTTTTTTTTAAAGAGCAATAAAGGAAGTCTTTGTGGTTACACTGTAAGGGTAACTTGGATCAATAAAGTTTTTATGTGGTTTTTTTAAATTTTATTTTATGAGGTATATGATTAAAGTATTGTTATGGCTTCGTGAAATTAATGTTCAAAACTGTTCTTGCAAAACTAATTTTCCATTACCAATGTATGTTTGATTATATATAATGATATTATAGAGATAAACTCTAAATCATCTTGCGCTAATGCTGTAAATATATCAAAATACATTTTTAAACGTTGAAGAAGAGGAATCTGCGAGTGTGAAAAAAATAGGTGCCCCAACCGCAATTCGAACCTGGGACCTTCTGCTGTCTATACAGATGCCTTAACCATAGATCATTGAGGCTTGTTGGGAATTTAAATCCGACTGAAACACCTAATTCTTTCACACTCATGCGCATGAGTATTAGGCAGCACTAGTCCTTGATGCATGGCAAATATCAATATGATACGCCCTCTTTTTATCAGCAATTTACGACAAGACGAGATCTCCGAAGAGATGATTTTTATAAGTAAAAAAATGATATGATAAATTTGGTCAAACGGATGACTTATAGAATGTTGATACAAAGGCCTTGTGTTTATTTGACATGAGCAATTCTAAGTTTATTATAATTTATAGGGGGGTTTTTTTTGTTTTTGTTTTTTGTTTGTTTTATGTTTGTGTGTTTGTTTGTTGGCAGTATTTCTATGAGGGAGATATTTGAATTGGTAGCTTTTTAGGGGTATATGAATTGGTTATACTGCGTGCTTGAAGGCCATTGTTGCAATTAGAGAGTTATGATCTATTCTCGTAATGTACTTTTAATACAAAACTTAAAGTATAATTTTTATTGGTACTTATGTCGTATTACTTCGAAAGTAGATGATGTATCCAGCAATGTGATTATTCATTAGAATTCTAGTTAATACTTATCCAAAAAGCATCGTAAATGAATGATTTATTAGAAAATATGACGAGTTATCAATTAGAATCCGAGAGTCATCTCCTTACCCAAATCAATCATTGTTTCTGGCGATGCATTGTTTAAATACATTAAGAAGAGATATAATGGAAACGTATGGAATGTTACGTTTCCCTCCGGTATCAGCATGCTAGTTTGACATTTCAATCATAGCTAGCCTAATATTATAGATTAGTCTACTATTCAGTAGATAGAAAGACTTTGGCAATTATGACGTAAATTCTGGCTTTTGGGTATCGTATCATATCCCAATTTCGATCATATTTTTTTTATAAATTACTCGGGAAAACATTATGAATATTGATTGTGTGCATTAGTTGATTTACAATGGCCATATTGCCTACAGTATTACTGATAGTTGTAAGTATGTAGTTGTACCGTGTCCACAGGGATTAGATGCGTTTAAATTAAGAAAATTATTCCCTAAAGTAAATAGGGAATAAGAACAACAGAGCACGTACAGTACTATGCAATTCTGTATCAATCAATCAATCATTTCATTTTAAATAGCTATGTGAATCTATTGAAAATGTTCGAAGGCGCTGGAATAGCAGTGTTTTCAATTTTCTCAAGAGAGCGGCAGTGTTACATTTAAGTTGCAGCACGTGAAAAGGCTTGCTTTCCAAAATACTGCAAAATACAGGGTTTTAAAGCGGCTTTCTCCCCACAGTTGTATATATTTTCTGGTGCCTCACTCTTGAATAATGAATTCTCCTTTTTGAATGAGCTATATGTCCTTTAATTGGTGGTCATGTTGTATACGTCCGAATTAAGATACATATCTATGAATTTTAGTTAAGTTTATCCTTTCATGCGTTAAGTCAATAGAATACAGGGAAATTATATTTTTTATGTCACCAATTTTAACTAAACCGATTTACAGTTATGAAAAAAGAACGTTATTTGCGTTATGTAATACTTGGCATTTTATTTTATACCATCATATTTTAAAATTATGTTTAATCAGATCTGAAGGCGGTGCGCTTGTCGACACCCTCTTGAAGCGAATGGACAAATACGCTACGAACTTAGAATCATTGGTCGAAGAGAGAACCGCACAATTTCATGAAGAAAAACGGAAATCAGAAGAGCTTTTGTATCAGATATTACCCAGGTAGCAATGGTTTATTCAGTTGTTTTCTGAGATCTTATAATTATTAATTATAAGATCTTTGATTGTTATCATTAATTTCGATAGGGGGCAGCAGACATTTGAGATTGAACTAGAGCAATTTCTGTTCGCTTCTATGTTTATTCATACAAGATTCCTATTTAAGTATCACATCATTAACAAACCATTACACGTATAAATTTGAATTTAGTACTTTTTATGGACTTAATATGGAAAATGGATGTCAGATTCAGACCACGGCAGGGTGGTAGAGTGTGTATAATACCTGCCCTCAAGCTCTTAGCCCAGTTTCCAGACACCCCAAGAGAGAGAAACACCATCCACATTACCAAGATATATTTTAATTCTGTCTCGAATCTGAGTTTGAGGCAGATAACTATGAAAACAAATAACGTGATGGTGTTCTTCTATAGAGATTAGGTCAGGTTTAATTTTAATATAACTCCTTCAGATTTATTTTCAATTTTTGTGTTTAGAAAATTGTCTTGAGGTAAGCCTATTCAGTTTGTCGTTATGTTCAATTATTCAACGATTACAGTAACATGTAATAAAATTTAATTCTTGCACACAACATGACTTTTATTGATAAATTACCGACAATAATTATATATCTGACAAATAGTACGATCAATACACGTTTTGAAAATTAGACGTGGAGAATTATTCTGAATAGTTGAGACCCGGCTGTGTAGACAAATATTTAATGACTCAATAAAATTATGAATATAGAGTTTATTATGATTATGCTAATGTGAAATATGGGACTTAATAGAACACATACAGTAGGTAACAATGATAATGTTAATAATAATAATAATAGGCCTAATACAATTATTATTATTATTATTATTATTATTATTATTATTATTACTATTATTATTATTATTATTACTATTAACTATTATTAACACCGGTATTTATTACCTCCGCAAGGAGATTATTTTTCATTATTAATGTTTTTCATTTTGATCAGTGCCTTATAAGGTGACAGTATTATTTACGACATTATATATACTGAAAATTACTCTGGCTCTGAATTTGTTAGGTCTGTTGCAAATGAACTGAAGCAGGGAAACCCAGTGAGGCCTGAAGCGTTTGAAAGTGTCAGTATATATTTCAGTGACATCGTAGGCTTTACCAAACTCAGCTCTATGAGCACTCCGATTCAGGTAGGCCTAGAACAAAACATGTGTACAAAAGACAACCTTGTAATCACAGAAAACAAACAATCATACATTGTATAAACAGTATATGATCATGTATATAAAAATATTGAGTTATTAGGCATGGGTATTAATACGACAGTATTTACAGCATTTGTGACGAACCTAATTAATAAGTTGGAAAAGTACAAGACTTTTTATTGGTGGCATCGTATATTATCAAACGTAATGGAATAGTTTATATAAAAAAGCAGCGTTTTTGCTTCTTGTAAACAACCATTATTTGTATATCAAATACCTTTGTATTATTAATACTATATATTAGTCGTGGTAATGGTAGTTAGTCTATAGTAGGCCTATAGAACGTGCAGGAGTGTTATTCATATTTCTAGCTTTCACAATTGATATGTTTATGTAGCTATTTTAATATTTTTAGTATGTTTTTATTTATTTTTTCTTGAATAGGTTGTTGACCTTCTCAATGACCTCTATACCTGCTTCGACGCAATCATCGATAATTTTGATGTTTATAAGGTAGGCTGGTAAATTAATTACAGTTTAACCTCAGATATTTCAATTTATTATTATTGTGATATGGAAAAGTTAAGAGTAATCCTACTCATTTTTATCAGTTGGTGGTTTTTTAAAATCTTAACACACTGGATGCAGAAATAATATCAAAAACACCAAAGGATAAACACCTTAAAATACTTTCAGTGCAATACAAAAAAATGACAAGTGTCAAACAATTCATAAAAATCAAAAAGAAATAATATCAAACAAGTACAAGCAGTTTTACATTATAACACATTAATCTGTATAGGTGTAATTTGCCCTACCTGACGTGGAAATGTACCGAATACTCAGTACATTTAAAAACAACTGCGAAAAAAAAATCGCAAGTTGTTCTCGGGTGGGACTCGAACCCACGATCGCCAGATCACTAGCCTGGCATCATACCTCTAGACCACCGAGCTTGCGCCTGATGGCCAGGGTTGAATTCGAGTCCATGGTAAGAAGCGGGTACTGCAGTGTTGATAGTAATTGTTATTGTCGTGATGGAATAATAGACAATAACTGAATTTGCGTCAGGAGAAACATGTATAGGTGTAATTACAACAACAATAACAATTACTATAAACACATTAATCATTACAGAAAAAATAATTAGAAATATAATATGAAATTATATAACGCACAACATAAAGAATATACTTAAGTTGCTATATAACACCAATAAAGAGCGTTATTGTGTATCATAATTAGAACTTCTAATTATAGGTCTATTTGACAATATACATAAAAATGATATACAAAATATATTTCTTAAAGAATATAATACAGTACAGTACTTTAAACTATGCTGAATCTTATCTCTGGCAAATTCCTATTACTCGTTAATCCCTGGATCACCCTATTGTTAATTTTCACTACCGTACTTTTGCAACTGACTGTTTTTTTATTCTTCATGAATTTCTAATGATGAACTTTGTCATCGTTCCAGTATTAATTATTTTTAACACGATCATGGTTTAAAGCACTTTATAGCTAGGCGTGTCATCTATCTTTTTATCGATTAATAATTGTTTTTTGCCAAACCTCTCTTTGCAACATTGAACATAATTACCTTCATGAATATTTCATTATTGATCATAAATTTCTAATCGTGTAATTATTTGAATATTGCTAATCGTTAACATGATTATGGTTTATGATTACAAGCTGATGAACCATTCAACACTTTTCAACAAGTTTCTATAGTTGACTGTTTTTGTTTTGCAGTTTGGAGTTTTCCTCTCTTTGTGTTGCAATCACTGATTAAAGTAAAATATCTCACACACACGAGCCGAGGCGTACAATATGCTGCAGTCTCGTGTCAAATGTGCATGAATATACTGTACTAATAATATACTATATAATATAAAACAGGTTTATGATTACAAGCTGATAAACCATTTGCAACACTTTCTATAGCCAACTGTTACTTAATATCTCGCACGATCCGAGGCGTATTCAATACCGTAGTCAGTCTCGTGTCAAATGCGCATGAATAAGTAAAATGTAATGTTGTATATTTTGTTAAATAGGCCTAATAGTTATTGACAATTTGACACTGTATTTGGCCATATGAAAAGCTCAACAATTGTTAGGTAATAAAATCGTTTGTATAATGAAGATGTAGAATAACCATGTGCAATTGAAACTACTGGGTTTATTTGTGTAATAAAAACTGCAATCTAACGGTCAGTGATGTCGTATATAAATAAAATGATAATGCGCTGCAGTGCAAACTTTAATAATAATTAAACACATTAGATTGGTACTCAAGTACTTGACACCTTATTATGTTCAACAGATATGATATAGACAAAAAACACATTTAGTTACGGTGTAATGTTGTTAAATAAATACTGTGATATTGTGAAATTATATTTTTAAAAAGGACTTGTTATTCATAACTTTTCGACATCTTTTTGTTGCTTCCTAATTAATCTGAGTTATTTGAACTTCCGAACGGTCAACTGTACTGATTATTGATACTTCATTATCTATTCATCTTCTCTTTTATTTACCATTGTGTCTCATGTAACACAAATATTGCCAATAAAGCAACCATGTTGGTATTATTCTCACATGATACGTGTTTGGTGCAACTGATCGTTATTCACACCTATTTATTGCATATAAATGCAAAATGTTGTCAGAGTTAAATCCTGAATTCTGAGTAAGATTTAGTACCATACACATTTGTATTGATATTTTAATACTACCAGAAAATTGTTTTTAACACTTTCGAGAAATAGCGATAGTTCATCCTAAAAAAAGTTTAAAAATAATAATAAAAATAAAAAAAAAAAAAAAAGTTTAAAAAAAAAAAAAAAAAAAAAAAAAAAAAAAAAAAAAATCAGCGTCTATTTCTTGACGACTTATGTATGGGGTAAAATTAAACGTAGTCGAACCAGAGAGCCCCTTTCTTCTTCCTTAGCTTTTTGGACCAGGCTGTGCAGTGCTGTAAGGGGATCGCGACGTCTCCCAGCGAGCCTGTTTACTTCCCCAGCATATTCTGGTATATATTTATACTTCTGGATGCAGAGGAACAAACGTATATAAAGTGTCTTGCCCAAGAACACAGGTGACTTGCACAGCGAAGGCTCAAACCCTGACCACGAATTTGAGATTCTGAGCATCTACTGCTACGCCAACCGATTCCACTTTCAATCAATTAATCAATCAATCAATCAGTCAGTCAATTAATTAACATCTTTTAAATATCCACGGTAGAATCAATGTTCTGTGGTGCTATGACATAAGCAATACACAAGCATGATCTAATCTTTAATATATACGGTATTTATTATAACGGTTTTAAAATATATTATTTAGGTGGAGACGATTGGCGATGCGTATATGGTTGTGTCTGGTCTACCAATCCGTAATGGTGATTTCCACGCCCGGGAGATTAGCAGAATGGCACTGAAGTTATTAGAAGCCGTCAGAACATTCAAAATCCGCCACGTGGAGGATGAGAAATTGAAGTTACGAATTGGAATCCATTCGGGTGAGTGTTTGTTTCTACTGCCCCATGGGGGAGTGTAAACTTTGTCATCGTCTGGCAGTTGACCTTGTAAGTAAATCCTGTGGAGGAATTATGGGATGGGTCATAAGCTTAAGATAAAAATGAAAAGTAAGTTTACGAAATATGATGCCATGCTAGATAAGACCTGTTCAAGTTAAGTTTTTCAAGTTAATTGCCAACACAGAAAGCTGCTAGAGATAGGACCTGTACTAGAAAGTTTACTAAAACGTCAACTATCTGGTAATATTTGTACAGTTATTCAAGTGTCAACACAGAAATCGTAGATGAGTTAATTGTAGCAAAGAAAAAAAAAAGCAGTAGACACGTACGCACCCGCTGGGAGCCTATTATTGTATTGGGTTCTCAAAAATATTTTGTCATTTTAATATAAATATAAATATATATAAATATTTACATTGTCAGGATTAATCACATAGCGTTTAGAAGCAACTTGTACTTTTTGTACACAATATATAATGAGGGTGATCCATCAAGCTCTTAAAACAAGTTACTTTTTTAAGCTTGGGGAGTATCTGATGTGGTTAATATTGAACTTAATTGGAGCCAAATTTATATACAGCAGCAATACTATGCGCAATTATGCATTAGTCTTGCTGGATAACCAGGACCTGGAAGCTCTAAATATTCTCAAATGCAATGTTATGTACATCAATAACAAAAACATACGTTGCATAGATACCATTTAAATCACCGTGTACAGTACTTGAGTGAGAAGATATTTGTATTGTTGCCAGTATGCTAATTTGTATTCCACATGTCGGTGCCTCAGCAAATAGGCCTAAAGCCAATACAATGCCCACGATAACTTCTCTATTTGAAGGCCAAATGCCATGTAGGGCTATTGTGTTTCACAATAACATAATAAATATTTATGAACAATTTTTCTTGACACCTGTCATTCTATTCTACTTCAAGACTTTTTAGAGATAAAAATAACCATTTATAACGAAAATTTAGTTGGTGTGTTGATAAAATGAATAAAAATAAATAACTAATAAATAGTTGGATTATCAATTTTGGGAGAACCAAAATTAGCTACAGTTTGTCCAAGTTGGTTTAATATCTACAATAATGTAGGCTAAACAATTTTGTTAATTTGTTAGTGTAGTAGGTCTATGTCAAAAATATATTCTTAAATATGTAAATACACCTGCCTATAAGAACATTTACTAGTGAGATGGAATAGCTTCCTATATATCTGATGTTTAGTGAGAAATCTGGCTTTTCTTATTCATTCAATAGTTTGAATTGTTTATTATAAAGACGGTCGTATTTCCACTTGTAGATAAATTGCATAATAACGTTATTATTTACTAAATGCATTTTGATTTTTAAAAAAAAGTATCACAGCTTTACATGCTGCAGTAGAAAGTCAGAATTATCCATAAGTTTTTTTTTAAATTCCCCAACGTTTATGACATTTAGGACCGGTCATATTGAAAGTACATAATAATGGTAGGCCTACATTCGTTTCAAGATTCAAGATGTAGAATTAATTTATTTGCCCCTTCTGTCATAATGTTGCATAAATTTGAATATTAACAAAATATATATATTTTTAGGGCCTTGTGTGGCCGGCGTTGTGGGGTTAAAGATGCCTCGGTACTGTCTGTTTGGCGACACTGTAAATACAGCTTCACGAATGGAATCCAACGGCGAACGTGAGTAGATCTTGAATTATCATTAATGCCATTTTCATGGATTATTGTTAATAAAGGCTGTAGTAGAAGATGTTGTTGAAACTGTTTTTAGGTATTAATATACTTCCATGATACAATAACCCGCTGAATGGAATTAAGGGGCTTTCGGTTCTACAAATAGGCCTACTTTCTAAAATTCATATACAGTTCCGTACAAAGTATTCTTCAATGCAGTAAATCGATAAGATCCGTACTTCGTTTGAGTGTGAGATTTGGTAAATCTAAATTATATGTTTCACTTTTTATTGGTGTCTGGTAAATACATTATAATATGTTGTTATGGTTAGTGAAAATGTTGCTATTAAAATCTGGGAAAATCATCAGACAAATTTTAGAAATCAGATGATGTTCTTTCAACAAGAAGGATGTATTTCGTGGTTGTAGCCTACCTTTATTCTCTCTTTTTTTCATTGTTTTCAGTTCTTCATTAACTCGGGTTCTGAGTACATAGGTCTACAGTAGATGTTATGCTCAGAATTTACTTCATATGTCAACCATGTGATCTCTATAAACAATTATATATTAATACATCATATATACTTATTATTTATATTTTTGCTTTCTTCTTTCCCAATTCAACAGTCATAACTTCGATTTATGCAAATGTTCTGTCGGCTGCTATAATTTTTACTATCTCAGTCAATGCATATGTACATATACAAAGTATTAAAATGCAGGTCTATAAAACATTTCATGATTTGTCAATAAAATATAATAGAAAATAAAATAACAGGACAGTATGTTTTCTTTTTTAAATATAATATCGGTAAATAAAACGCAATAAAATTCCACATAAAATAAAAGTTTATCAATACAGTTTACCGTATCAGTCAATTATGAGAAGAAATTTGTGTAAACGTTCTTAAATGTATTGTATTTTGCTCTAACATATCATCAATCTTTAGTTAATGTGTTGACGTTTACTTGAAATAAAACGAATTTGAACTTTTACTTATATTACTTCTTACTACAACATTATCAAGCCAATGACTCCAAAATAAGTTTGTCTTTTACATTTACATACAAGTTGTTTATGCTGATTTACAAATGTGGACTACAAATATATACAGTATGCGACAATTAATTTGTTAGGAAACATTTCTCTTTCTACTTTCAATTGAAATCTAATGAGTCGCTTATGGCAAAAAAACCATTAACATTAAAAAAAAAAAATCAGTAACGGTTGTTACTACGTACGTCATTTTGTCATACAGTATATTTGTTTTGTTTTGTTTTGTTTTATTTTATTCGGCATCTCACAAATTTCAATTTACATCATCAAAAACAATACAATAAAATTTCATTAAAAAGACACGGTTACATGAATAAAGGAATAAAAAAAGAATGCCATGGATAACCCATAAAGTTCAGAAACCTATTTCCATATACAATAAAAAAAAGTAATATTTATAAAGTATAAGCAGTCAAATTATTGAATGTATTGCTCTAGTATTATCGACAGTGTGTCTTATATTTTAGTTTGCATGTTTGCATATAACGTGTCTCTTGGTTTTATCTATGTATCTGCTAAATATTATTCGTTAATGCATTGGTTTTAAGAATTTTTATTCAGCTTAAATAACAAATCTTTTTTTTAAATATATATCTACAGCCTTGAAGATTCATATAAGCCAAAGTACAAGGGATATTCTTGAGTCATTCGGTACATTTGTTTTAGAACATCGAGGACAAATCGAGATGAAGGTGAGTTTTTCTAAAACCAATTGAAAAACAACAAATTTGAAAGCTTATCTAGTATATTATTTCAATATAAAAGCTTTATATTGGCAAATGCTGCTTAAATTATGTATTACCGTAAGACATTACAACTACAATACAGAAATATGAAGAATGGACCGTACGATATTCTGGAAAGAGGTCGGTTGCTATCAACAGCCGGCCCTGACCAAATACCTGAATAGAACTTTCAGAATGATGACATGATAAATAGGGTCACATATTAATGTTTTGAGGCGGTTAGTACTAATACAGTACGATAAAAGCCTAAATTTTATGTAGTAGAATATTGCTTTCTTATATGAATCCAAGAAAGCCAATTTGAACACCAAATATGAATATTTCCTTTTAAATATGTACAGTACCATTATGTCATCAAATCTGGAAAATTCTTAACAATTTAACAATTTAATAAGAATCGGAATACACATTTACAAGGGTCAATGACTTATTAGTTCCAATGAAACATAGATCGAAACAGATAAGTTGATTTCTCTGATTTACAGACCTTTTACTACATAAATTCGTAATACTAAACAATTCCAGGGTATATATACGATTGTATATACGCCCGTTAAAATGCTAAACAAGAACATACAATAATTTGTAAGCCAGAAAACAATGAACTTGGGCCTACTTTCCTGCGTTACTTTTTGAGATTTGCGGCTATTAATACCATTAATGGATTAATTTATTTCTTTTTTTCATAAATTTTAGGGCAAGGGACTACAAACAACATATTGGCTGCTAAATGAAATGCCTAAGAATGGAATAAGAGATTTCAAATATAAAGAGTTATCAGTCTGAAGTACTTGGATATGGTTAGAGTATTGATAACTTATGATATCGCGTGTGTCTTATCCGCATAAATACCAGAAAGGGATGTCGTCCAGCAGTTAATGAATATTTTGAAAGTTCCCGATTTATCAAAATATGTACCGTATTCACATAAATCAAATATTTTCTCCGGCTAACGAAGATATGGTATTGGATAGCTTTATCATAGGATATCAGCAGTGTGATGATTGACGATTTTAGCCATATAGAAAATATTTGTTTATTGATACTTTAAGCGTGGATACAAGCGAAGAGAATGTTTGTCAGAGGTGTTCGCGGCGTTATGTTTAGGTACTGTCATTGCAAATTGTCGTGGATACAGTCGTGGGGTATATTTGACAGAGGTATTCACGGCGTTTTGTTTTGGTACTCTAATTACAAATTTTAATTCCACTACAACAGCCCAACCAGTATTTATCATTTGAACCACTGAAGAAACAAACACTCTATTGAATCTATATTTTGAGGTATTGTTTATGCATTACCTATGAGTGATTGATAAACCTTCTATTTGAAAGAAAATGTCGAGTTATGATATAAATTTCGTATTTTGTTCGTGTTGAATAAAATATCTATGTTAATCAAATGAGAACTGTTAAAGTTAATGATTGATTATAACACACTCCTCTTATCAATAGATAATCTGTTGTTTTGTTTTTAAAATACATCAAGTTTTATTTTAAAATTGATGCTTGTAAGTCTCTAGGAATGAAAATGGCCTACGTAATTGAATCTAGCTAAATCTTTTATCAGCCGTCTCGTTAATTTTAAATAAGCATTACTATGTCGTAGACATATAAACAATCGTACGCTGTATACTGTCGTCTGCATTATTTAGTTTATTAACTAATAACATGTGGTTGAACAGATTAAGAACTGCTAATAGACGTTTACGGAGTCTTAAACTTAACTACTGGCCAATCATAACGTGCTGTTTAAAGCCAGGAGCGCATAAATGCCCCACAAGCACTCACGTTAAGGTTGTATAAGGTCCCACTCCTTAGCAACAATATTCAAGGGACGGGATTAGTGAATAGGTCCCATTTTAGGCTCTATAAAAATGCAGACTATAGTATAAATTGTGTAATCTTCTGTTTATATACCTTCAACACAGACATGCGCACAAAAATACCACAGATGGCTTATTTGCATTTTCGTACCTGTGGTTTGTACCAAGTGCTTTCTCCGCCTCTGTAAGAATCTCATTGTAAATTAAGATAGTCTATCAGTATATTTATATGTATTGCTTTTTGTACATTTCCATCGAACAGGGATTGTTCGAATATATCGTAAATACGCTGTAAGATAATCGTGTTTATTTTATATAATTAAAACTTGTTATATCATCATAGATCTAGTCGAATTATAATTAATTGTTTATACGTCATGGTTCCATGATATAGAAATACTTTTCCCAGTCGTATCCTGCAGGTTCCAAGATCTAGTAGGAGCAGATGCTATTCGCAAATGAGGTAATAATTTACCAAAGACTTGTGCGTAATTTGGGAAATGTAAACTTTCTAATGTATGATGATGATTGTCATGATCATACCAAAGTTAAGACTTTAGGAAAATAAAATATAAATAACGGTACTAAAATTATGGATACCGTAGGACGTTAAGAATGCGTTTTTATTTTGTAGAATACAGATGTTGGATATAAATTTGGCAGGAATTTTTTTCTTAAGGTTAGCTGTTATACTATTAGGCATTGTATGAGAATAACATTTAATAATATGGGTTTATCGAAATTGGCTTTTTAATTGTGAAATTTGAAACGAACAGTTTCCACGATTTGAATGGTTGTCAATGAAAACACAAATCAATGGTTTACTGTAAAGCTATTAAATTCTGGTTGGTAAGAAGTTGGTTTGCACTGAATTCAAACGAAAATTACATATCCTACAGATAATGCCTTAGTTTAGTTCCATGTAAAGTAAATAAATATTTTGAATAGACCTACAGTATTAATACAGGTATCCGCATTTCGGTCTAATGAATAATTAATACTGAAATTATGTATATGCACTTTGTTGTAAATTTCAGTTTGACAATACTGATATTATTAGTCCCTTTTTAAAAAATATACTGTATACGTTTAATTTTCATGTAAATACATTTTAAGAGTTCACAGATTAATAGATATTCTTTAACTTCCGGTATACTTTGTCGATATATGAGGAACATGGCTTTGTAACCTAGCTAAATGTACAGTCACATTAATTGACAAATTGCTTCGAGTATTCCTAATGTTTTATAACACTTATCCAGGCTAGATTAAATAATCCTTTGTTAATTTCAATAATTCGTTTGTTTTTCCCAATCCGTCTTCCACCAGGTGTAGTTTTTTTTTTTTTTTTTCTTTTTTCTTTTTTAAGCACAACGATTTCGTTCAGAAAAAGCACTTTCTATCTTCATTGATTATGTAGAGTTATTATTTATTATGTACGTAAAAGTATGAGATATAGACCTATTTGGTGGAGTTTTACTTACTTAGCGGGATTTCCTTACAGTGTTTTCTGAAATATGTGCCTCATTTGATCTAATCTTGTGTTTTTAGATTAAAGTAATGTAAAGATTAGATGGTATGTGGATTTACCGTTTATAAAGGTTACTCGTGTTTGTCAACCTATATTTAAATAGATGATTTTCGCCGAATCACTTTACACTGGAAAAGTTTCGCAACCTATTAAGTTTTTGAGCCGGTTTCTATATGATCTGTCAGAGTTTCATCTGTGTTTTAGGAGAATCATCGATTATAATTCATAATTTAAAACAAAACCTTGTATAAATTTGAATCATATTTCCCAACGTAAAATCGGACCAAGTAAAATGATGACCACCATTATTATTAACATAAATAATAAGAATTAATAATGCATATTTACTAAAACTCACCATAAACGAGGGAAATTTGAACGTCAAATCTAAGGCGTCTGCAATTTCAAAAAGAATAAATGTTTGTGGAAACGAACAAAGAGCCATAACATATTGGCAATTATTGTTGTTGTCGTAAGGTTGCAAAACATTCCTAGTACCCGTAACTTCAACGGCGACCCATTAATTAAGTGTAAATTTTGTTCACACTATATAAATGCACTTGCATATTTTTAATGAGGAACAATACTATTTTAATCTTTTTTATACCATTTTAATGTTTACCTGAAGAATTTACTCAACCTTGAGAATGCTCTTTAAGAAATTGTCATGTATGGCTCTGAACATTAAGGTATTCCTACTAAACAGTGGTGATAGTGTACACCGATGTAGTTGCTTCACTTTTTAGAAGGCAACGAATATAGTCTGATTATGAAAGATACTAACACTTTTAAGTGTTAGATTCTGATTTTTCTAGATAGAATAATACTGTGATTTGTGTTTTAACTTCATTCAGGTTATAATTTTAACGATATTTTAAGATACGATGACTATAAATAAAGTATTTGTAAAGGAATGTGTTTGCCATGTTTATAGGCCACTTTGAATTTTTGAACTCGTTGTTTACTTTGGAAATTAATGGGATCAGATGTTTGCAATAAGTTCCATGTACTTGTTTCAAGTGGTCGATAAATCATATAAGTATTATCAATTTTTATTCAGTATTGTAGGTGTTTCTATCGTTGGTATTTCAACAAAAAAAACTTTGTTTATAATATCATATACTTGGAAGGGGAAGATAATCAATCGTAGAATTTAGCAGGATCTAAATTTTACCTTATATCTAAGGACTATATCTTGAAATGTAGTTATAAACAAAAATATATATAATTCAGTGGAGGTTTATCACCGGTAACTATCTATTTAGTTGACATTATTAAAAAGACGACACATGCGTCCAATTTTTATTTTCTCAACAGGGAAGATTATATGATTTTTCGATAGCTTTATCTTCTAGAATTTCACATATTTTAATAAAATTCTTTGACGTTTACCATTTTCACTAATTCTAAACCCAAGAACACTATTTACATTATTCGATTCAAGCTAAGGTGACTGTAAACTTCGTGAACCACAGTATAATTAAGTGTTTTATTGTGTATATCTAATAAATATGTGTATATAATATAGGGTCTATATTGGTTTTATCGCATAACTCTGTCTTCATTGGCATTATATTTTACTGCTACTAACATTGGTCATATAGGATAACATAAACTTACATAAAACTCAATTTTACTTTTGAAATTTCGATGCTATGATTGGTTGATATGCAGGTCAATAACTGACACTAAAACCGGTCACAGTCCGTAGTTCATGACAGTATATAATACACACACATAGACGTATACATAATATGCATATAATATAAATATATAGAGGTTTTATATTTGAGATATATATAATATATATATATATATATATATATATATATAAAGCAAGATAGTTTTTAACACACTGTTAAGTATTATATATAGG